AAGGAGTTCTCCCAAGAAGTAGAGATAAGAAAGAAGAGAAGAGAAGACAGAGACAGGAGCAAGGGCCCTGAGTGAGCCCAACAAAAAATCAAAGCATACAATATACCAGTACTGTATACAGGACTTCACGTCATTCCGCATGCTGTTTCCACCAATACCCGCGTAACCGGGAATAGCAGGGGAGGGGCCTGCCCCAGGGACCAGAGACTAATTGTTGAGATGAGGAAGGGCGTCCCTCAAACTTATTCCCAACAACGGCTCCAGCACCCCGCCATCCACAGCACCGCTGAAATATGGAACCAGGCACATGCAGGAGTAAGGAAGTAGTAAAATCAGATATATAGGTAAATTAAACAGTAACATTGAAACAGGTGAGTACGAGGAAACACCTCAACATCAGATAGTATAAAATAAAAAAACAGCTCGTGCTGAACAGCCAATAGACTCATACTTTTGAGTGTGTTAGCATATCAGAAAATAGCAAGAGAAACCACTCAAAAAAAAAAAAAAAAAAATGTAAAACAGTTCCAAATGAACCAATCGGACCAGGAGAAAGGCTTGAAGAAGTTGAGAAGAGACCGATGGCCTCTCAGACCTTCAAGGCGGGCGAGATTTGGAGGACGCTGGATTGGTACGTTGACGTTTAGGGGGGTCTTTGCGAGGACTGCGTTGGTCTCTGGGACCAAAATTTCTACCCGCGGGTTGCGGCAACTGATCCCCGTCATTTAGGTGGTCTTGCAGATATTGGTGGGCTTCTTCAGGATGAACGAAAGATTTAGAATCCCCCGATGGTGCAGTGAGACGTAACGTGGCCGGATATGCGAGTGTGAACTTTATTCCTTTCTGGTAAAGAGTGGCACAAACATGCTGAAATGCTTTCCGTTTACGTGATACTTCCTGTGAGTAGTCCGCAAATAGTAGTAGTAATTTGTGACCCTCAATTTGCAAAGAACGGGAGTTACGGAAAGAGGTGAGGATCGCTACGCGGTCAGCATAGTTGAGATAGCGGACAATCACAGAGCGTGGCGCACAACGCTCATTAGATGGGGGCCCCAGGCGATAAGCTCTCTCTACCTGGCAAGAGGAGGATAGGCCCAAAGCTGCAGGGATCCGCGCTGAGCAGAGATCGGGGAGAGAACCTGTATTAAAGGATTCTGGGAGACCCACAATGCGTAGGTTATTCCTACGTGATCGATTTTCCAGATCGTCGAGTTTATCCAATATACTTTGCTGTACACAATTGGATTGTGACGTAACCGCTTGCATTGAATAGACTTCATCTTCTAAATCTGATACGCGCTGCTCAGCCTCAGATAAACGTTTAGAATGATCGCCTAAGTCTTTTCTTAGCTGTTCCATGCCCAAGCTGACAGCTCTATCTACAGCCTGTGTAATGTTTGGGAGCAGGATGGAGGACACTGCCTGAGCTATTTTAACATACTGCTCAGGAGTGTTATCAATGCCAGGAGGGAGTGAGAGGCAGTGAGGATGGTGGGGAGAGGCTCTGTCATACCTGCTCCCACGTTGCGATCCCGCTCTGTGCCTGTGTCCATGCTGTGACAGGCACCGTCGGCCATCTTGGCTGCAGAAGGGGGAGAGCCGCATCCCTCCGCTCTGGCGGCCGACTCATGGCCGGACTGCGCCGGCAGAAGGTACCGCTCCATGCTGGGGCCGCTGCAGGAAGGTAAGGGGCACCCCAAGGCTATATAGTGGGGGTCCCCGAGGCAGTAGGCAGGCTTTATAGAGCCGGGATCCCGGGAGCCGCGGGTCCCGCGAACTACAGCATCCGGCGCCGGAACCGGAAGTCACATACTCTTTTAAACACTTCCCCTCCCCTATAGCAGAAGTACTGATATAGGGTGGCAGGGGCTACGCAACATCATGTGTATTTCCGGGTAGGGGGTGCGCTGCCCTACCCGCGCCACCATTGGCGGCTACAGCTGTCGATCACTGGGTCCCGGCCAGAGATTCCCCAGCGGCATTGCTGAGGAACACTGAAAGGGGAGAGGTCTGTATATAAACAATACAGATCACCCCTGTCAGTGCCAGCATGCTGCTTTGTATTGCACCTCCATAGCAGAGTAATACAAACCAGCATGCTTACATAGTAAAGCACACACAGTTAACCCTTTGATAGCCCCGTATGTTAACCCCTTCCTACCCAGTGTCAATGCTTTTTTTATTAGCACTGATCACTGTATTACTGTCACTGGGGATGTCAGTGGCAGATAGTCAGTTCCCCCCCAGAGTCAGAATGCCTGCCGCAATCCCTCTATAAGTCGCTGATCACTGCCATTACTAGAATAAAAAAAAATCACAGTATATATACATACACACCGCCATTTGTAGACGCTATAACTTTCACATAAACCAATTAATTTACACATATTGGGATTTTTTTTTTTTTTTTTAGCAAAGACATGGAGCAGAATACACTTTGGCCTAAATGTATTACAAAATTAGATTTTTAAAAAATTTTTACTGAACATGTTTTATAGCAAAAAGTCAAAAATATTGTTGTTTTTTTTTTTTCAAAATCGTCAGTCTTTTTTTTGATTATAGCGCAAAAAAAAAAAAAAAAACGCACAGGCAATCAAAATACCACCAAAAGAAAGCTACATTTGTGGGAGTAAAGGGCATAAATTTAATTTGCATGACCGCGCAATTGTCGGTTAAAGTAACGCAGCGCCGCACCGCAAAAAAATGGCCTGGTCAGGAAGGGGTGTAATTCCTCAGGAGGGCAAGTGGTTCAAATGTACAGCTAAGCATTTCATTTCTGGCTACAAAACATTGATCTGCAACTTGTGCCCATTAGCTAATAGATGCAGACAAAATACACAGCACTGGTCCTTAGCAAGAAACAAAGCAAAAAACTGTTAATTCGTTGAACCAAATGAATACAGAAGCACATGTCAGGGCAGGGATGGTAGGTGAGGAATTGCACGTCGGGGCAGTGGTTCCAAGTAAAAAAATGTACACCGGGGCAGTGATAGTGAGGAAGTGCAGGTGTGGGAGGAGGTGAGGAAGTGCACATTGGGGCATGGATGGAGAGCAAGGAACTGCACTTTGAAAATGGGTGGGGAGTCAGTAATTGCATGTCTGGGAAGGGGTGGTGAGTGAAGAAGTGTACATCTCGGCAATGGTGAAGAGCGAAGAAATGCACATCAGGGAAAGGCTGGAGACCAAAGAATTGAGCATTGGGAATGGGTAGTGAGTGAGTAAGGCAGGGGTGGGTGGTAATAAAGTGCACATTGGAGCAGAGGTGGTGAGTGAAGAAGTGCATGTTGGGGCAGGGGTGGTGAGTAAGGGCACAATCGGGGTAGGGTGGTGAATGAGGATGTGCATGACAGAGTAGGGGTGATAAACAAGAAGGTGCATGTTGGTGCAAAGATGGTGAATAAGTGCATATTGAGGCAAAAGTGGCAAGTGAGAAAGGGCACTTGGGGCAGAGGTGGGGAGTGCAGAAGAGCATGTTGAAACAAAGATGATGAATGAGGAAATGCATGTTGGGGCAGGGGTGGCGAGTTAGGAAGTGCACATTAGAGCAGGGGTGGGAAGTGAGGAAGAACATGTTGGGTAGTGATAATGAGTGAGGAAGTGCCTGTCGGGGCAGAGGGTCAAATGTGGAAGTGATCATCGGGGTAGGGGTCATGAGTGAAGTGCATGTCAGGACGGGGGTTGTAAGTAAGGTAGTCCATACTGGGACAAGTAAGAAAGTACACATCGAGGTAGTGGTGTGATGGTGCACATCGGGGCAATGGTGACAACTGGGGAAGCCTTTGTAATGGCAGGGGTGGTGAGTGAATAACTGAGTGCCAGGGCAGGGGTGGTGAGTGACATATTCCATATCAGGGCATTTGGGACAAGCTTGAAAAGTACAGTTTTGGGCAGTGGTGCTATGTGAGAAGATGCACATCAGAGCCATGGCGGTAAGCAAGGTCATGGGTGTTGGGGCAGTGGTAGTAAGGGATAAAGGGGTTGTGCTCTTAGGTGCAGTAGCAGAGCATGGGTTGTTCAGGCTTTTGGGATTCATTTTTATTCTAGATGAAAAAAAAGTTAAGAGGAAGGGCTAGCTGGGTGCTGAGCGATGTCACTTCCCTGCTGAGCCAAGAGAAAGGGATGTCACCCAAGAACAGAACTATACAGACAGTCTTGGTGTCAGTGCTTCGGGAATGACCAGAGGTGTGTGGACCGACACAGGGAAACAGACTTCAGGTATAGCGTGTAAACAAGATAATTTATTAAGGACAACACAAACATAAACACAGTGCAACAAACCAAACCCAAAACTAACACAAATACATACAACAAAGTGAAACAAACCCAAACCTAAACTGATATATATAATATATATATATATATATATATATATGGAGCACAACGTAGTCAGGCGGGCTGGGTCGGTAGCTAATGGGCAAACAGGGTACCAGGAGCGAGCGGAAGAGTGGTCAGGAATAGCCGAGGTCAGGACAGGCGGAGTTCGTTCAGAGTCAGGATCAAAACAGGATCAGGCAGGAAGCAGACAGGATGCAGGTACAGGGGCTCATGGGAAACATACACCAAGGCACTGATCACAGGCCTGGTCCTGCTTAAATACACCTCCTGCAATCAGCCTCAGGTGATGGCCTGACTGCAGGAGTGAGATTCTGGCTGCTGAGAGCACCCGCTCGCCAGCCTTGGTACTGCAGCCCACAAGGCAGGTGAGTCCCACCACCATTGGCCAGTCCATTCCTGACAGTTGGGTGGATTACTCTGCATTGCACATTTGTGTCTCTTGGCTTCTATAGATGACTAAAAGTCAGAAGACCCACTACTGCTCTCGATAGCCCAGAAAGTGAGGGGGTGGGACTAGCTCTCCTTTGCACTTCCTGAGGATTTACACCCAATGGCCAGATCCGTGTGGGAATGTAACATTGTAGTTTCTCTTTTACAACATACCTAGCAGACAACAAGACTGCCAAAGTAAAGGAGCAGGACAAATACAAAGATGGTAAACTCACTCAAAGGATGAAGCAAAGTATTTCTTGACACCGTCATCTGGAAATGTAGCTCCACAGTCTCCGGGAACCTCTTCCACCTTCCAGCCATCTCCTCCATTCTGATCAATTTCCCAGAATTCAAATTCCTCTGTAGTAGAAAATGTTCCCCTTGTGACACATTGAAATGCTGCCATGACAGATCATGTTTCTTCCATGCCACAAAACATGCCAAAAAAAAGTGTCATTGAGAAGATCCAACTCACCTTCTCCGCATCCATTTTTAATGAGATTTCTCCCCATCTTGTTCTATAGGCTGATGTGTTTTCGGCTTATTTTGGAAAAGCAACTTCTTCCAGAGCCTCTGAAGATCTGCCCACTATTCTGATATTTCGCTGAGCAGCCTGGAATTTAAAATAATTTATTTAGATGAAGCCAACAGTGGTAATGAGTAGGGATGAGCGTAGTCCATCTCAACCATTTTATGGCACAAGAACAAGTCCAGGATAGATAAAAAGGGGCATCTGTAATCCTCAGGAGCCATTTTAAGCCCATTGCACTCTTATAAACCTCTAAAACAAACCACCCTAATTTTGCCTTCCCAATTAAATTCAATGCATTCCATTAAAATGGTCAAGTCTTGCCAAAATCTTCAGATGTCTTCAGAAAATTACAACAAAATTAAAAGTCTCAATTTTGTCATCCTTAGTAATATAAACTGCAGTAGGCCATCAATTATAGCATATTGTAGTTATGTGAAGTTAAATTCATCAATCGATGTGTGTTACTGCACTTTCTGCATTGATTTATCTATATATATATACTGTATTACTAGCTAGAACAAGTTCTTCTGGTAAAGGCCAGTATTGAACCAGCTCTCTTGGCAAGAGCCACTGTTGCCAGTCAGAACCAGTCTTTCTGGTAAAGGCAAGTGTTGCTGTCTTAGTGATGAAGTTCTCCAGGGTTAATGGTCTTCTCCCTTCCCTCACAGGACTGTGTTTGAGCCTGGAGATTGACCACACTTGGCCCTAAGAACACACTGGGAGGAAGGAGTGAAGATCACACGCTTCCCCATACCGGATACTAATATCTTCAAGAGAACAAGGCAGCATGGAGCACAGGGAAGGTGCAAAGCTGTGTGTGAGGAAAGGGGTTTTTCAATTGAGCCTAAGTGGTAAAACTCTTCAGGGTTAAGGACCTTCTCTCCTCCCTCACAGGACTATGTTTAGGCTTAGAGACTGACCACTCAGACCTAAGAACTGCATCCTGGGGGATGGGGTGAAGATCACATGCTTCCCCATACTGGGTACTAATATCTTTAAGCAGACACGGCAGCATGGAACAGAGGGAAGGTAAATAACTGTGTGGGGAAAGTGGTTTTTTCAAGAGAACATTGTCATAGTGATAAAATTCTTCACAGTTTATGACTTTCTATCCTCCCTCATAGGATGGTGTTCGGGTCTAGATATTGGCCACTCAGCTCTAAGAACTGCATCCTGGTGGGAAGGTGTGAAGATCACATGCTTCCCCATATTGGGTACTAATATCTTCAACTGGTACAAGTCAGCATGGAACACAGGGAAAGTAAGTAGTGGTGTGGGTGAAGGAGTTTCAAGAGAACCTGTCACATTGTCCCGAATGGACAAAGTGACAGATTTTCTTTGAAATCTCTTCTTATTGCTATCTCTGTCCTCAGTGCGGAGATTTGCCCTGACTTCCGGTTTTATCTCCCCCACTTCTCTGACTCCCCGAGTCACATTTTTAGTACATATGTGACCAAGTCAAGAAGTGAAGGAAAAAAATCATATCAGTGTCACAGTGCTAAAAATTGGATTAAAGTATGTGACTGAAGTGCCGATAAATAGTCAGAGGACTAGAGTAAAGGTCCTAGGACTATTCCTGCAAGAGGATTCCCTTGCCTAGGGGCTCTGCCCCTAAGGGCAGTCTGCTGGAAACGCTGCCTGAAGGTCATTGAGGTCTCAGCTGTAGGGCCTGTATTTCCAAAAAGTCTGGTCTGGGAATGTTCTAATCTGGAGAGCTCACTGTAGTACCCAGTGGAAGTTGGGGGAAAAGTGTGTCTAGCATTCATGTGGTATTGTGAGTCTGTGTCTCCCTCACTGAAGAGTGCCTTGTGGATAAATCGGAAGGAGGCAATCAATGATCCCATGGCATTGTGATTACGGACCTAAGTTCTGTGCCCTAGTGAATGTGTGTAGTTCTCAGTTCTGCAAAAGGAGGTCCTAGGCATTTCTTAGCCAGTAGAAAGTTCTGTGGGAACTTTCTATCAGATCTGTGGAAAGAGATGTGTCCCAAGATAAGTCTGCATTTTTGGGATATCCCATGCTCCCTTCACCCTATACAAATTTAATCTACAAAAAAGCATTAAAAAAAAAAAAAAAAAAAGGATACCCCTAGTCTGTTTTTTTTTGAGCCAGTGAAAGGAGAAAATGCTGTGTGCATGGTTGTGTTTGCCCTAAAATTTAAAAAAGTTATTCACTAAATCAACAGAAGCTCCCTACAGAGGTGCGCTACATACAGGAAGAATTGGTCAATACGCACTGAGAATTTCCAACATTAGAAGTTCTCATTGTGATTTCTATTATATCCCAAACAGCCTTGAGTGTCACTTTGAGCCCTTGGATTGGATGGGTTTTTCAGCCAGCTTATGTGAAAACAGCATGACTTGGATAGGTGTGATGTTTAGCTCTCCATTATCTTAGCTGTTGTGATTTCAAGTAAATTAATATGTTATATAGGACTGTGCCCTGGACCACTCAAACTGCTCAAAAATCCATAACCTATTAAAGCAGCTGCCGTTCTTTATGGTAGAACCATAAACAATGTGTTACTCCGCTACTTGCCCAGCTGCCTCTAATCTATATCTTGTTTAATTAAAGTGCAATGTGCTAAAAACAGTGCAAATATAATCTCATATTATATGACCCCCCTTTATAAAGTGCATCCAAATTATATATATATATACACACACACATACACACAAGCTTTCCCTTATATAACCTCTTATCATATATACATATATGTTCTTAAAACAAGGTGTCCACTGCAAGCATATGTAAAAGTGCAAAAAAATACATACCATAAAAACGTGTTAACACCAAATCAATAATTAACTCAAAACACTCTCTAATGTCCCACAAAATCCAGCATGTATTCTTATGTCCATAAAAAACATGAAACAGTCCACCAATGAAAAGTCTTCCTTTTGTGAGTGCTAAACCATTCTAATGACACCACCGACAAAGTGCTCTTCCACCACCAAACAGATCAAAATCAACTCACCAGAGCGATATGCTGGTCGAATCATAAACCAACATAAACACCTGTTGCTCTAGGAGTAATGATCTACAGCTAGCAATTCTGTCTCCAGGGGCTTCTTAGAACTGCACACTCAATCACTCATAGAAGGAAAAAGAAGAAAGGAGCTTCCATAATGTAAAACCATTCACCAGGTTTATTCATATAAAAACAGTAGAAAACAACTTACATATATTTATGTCTCCACTGACACAAGTGAACTCGTATATAGTTGTGAATTGGTTTGTCTCCAGCCGCAAACCGAACCCGTGACACTCAACACCGCCATGCGTGGTGACGTCCCCTCCTGGCCCCACCCTACGCGTTTCATCACTACACGTCCTTTGAGATATACAGTATGTATATATGAAAAGAGGTTGTATAAAGGGAAAGAGCGTATATCTATTTGGTTGCACTTTATAAGGGGGGGGGGGGGGGTCGCATAACATGACATTATATATGTACTGTTTTTTTAGCACATTGCACTTGATTTAGAACGAGATATAGATTACATAGTTAGTCTGGCTGAAAAAAGACAAAAAGTCTATCCAGTTCAACCATAAAAAAAAAAAAAAGTTATAATTCTATACCCACAGTTGATCCGGAGGAAGGCGAAAAAAACCCAGTGAAGCATGATCCAATTTGCTCCTGCAGGGAAAAAATATCCCCCCTTATGTATTATACATGGAGATCATATCCCCCCTTACATATTATACATGGAGATCATATCCCCCCTTATGTATTATACATGGAGATCATATCCCCCTTATGTATTATACATGGAGATCATATCCCCCTTATGTATTATACATGGTGATCATATCCCCCCTTATGTATTATACATGGAGATCATATCCCCCCTTATGTATTATACATGGAGATCATATCCCCCCTTATGTATTATACATGGAGATCATATCCCCCTTATGTATTATACATGGAGATCATATCCCCCCTTATGTATTATACATGGAGATCATATCCCCCCCTTATGTATTATACATGGAGATCATATCCCTCCTTATGTATTATACATGGTGATCATATCCCCCTTATGTATTTATACATGGAGATCATATCCCCCCTTATGTATTATACATGGTGATCATATCCCCCCTTATGTATTATACATGGAGATCATATCCCCCCTTATGTATTATACATGGAGATCATATCCCCCTTATGTATTATACATGGAGATCATATCCCCCCTTATGTATTATACATGGAGATCATATCCCCCTTATGTATTATACATGGAGATCATATCCCCCCTTATGTATTATACATGGTGATCATATCCCCCCTTATGTATTATACATGGTGATCATATCCCCCCCTTATGTATTATACATGGAGATCATATCCCCCTTATGTATTATACATGGAGATCATATCCCCCCTTATGTATTATACATGGTGATCGTATCCCCCTTATGTATTATACATGGAGATCGTATCCCCCCTTATGTATTATACATGGTGATCGTATCCCCCTTATGTATTTATACATGGAGATCATATCCCCCCCTTATGTATTATACATAGAGATCATATCCCCCTTATGTATTATACATGGAGATCATATCCCCCTTATGTATTATACATGGAGATCATATCCCCCCTTATGTATTATACATGGAGATCATATCCCCCTTATGTATTATACATGGAGATCATATCCCCCCTTATGTATTATACATGGAGATCATATCCCCCCTTATGTATTATACATGGAGATCATATCCCCCCTTAATCTCCTCTTCTCAAGATTAGAGGCAGCTGGGCAAGTGGAAGTAGCGTTGTTCTAATTTTAAGGAGTAACACGATTTCAAATAAGGATTGAGGCCTCACACAGCCCTCCATGGAAGTTTAACCAGCTGAAAAATAAAGTTAAAAACTTTTCCAACAGAAATTGTCAGGAAAAGCCTGCCCGTAGTGCAGGCGAAGATCCACGGCGCACAAATATGCGCAGAGTTATTAGGAGC